TATATTTTACAAAAATTATTCTCTGGTTTCAGCACTTAGTATCCTGTAAGTTAATACGACTAATATCCACTGAGTTTCAAAATTTTTACAGATCTTTGACATGTGTTTGCTAGATGATGAATTCTTAGTAACAGGGTCTCGGGATTCCAAACTAGCATTGTGGCGGGCACCTGAATCACCAATAACTCAAGCTACCCCTCACAATTATATAGCACCACTTGCTACTAGAGAATGTAAGGCTGGTAAGTATTGGCTAATTTATTAAACACATGTAGTCTTGTTATTAAAAAAAGGAGCTTGTTGCGGGTAGGCGCAAGTTGAATATCGAGTCCTCGCAAAATAACCAATTAAAAATAGAAATAAGTGAGAATACACAATAAAAAGTAAATATTGAAGCGAACCAGGAGAAGATATACCATAGGCAAACGTATCTGCCTTATTATTAGTGTAAAAAATAGAAAAATATCACGTTTTAAATTGTGTTGTCTTGACTTCGATTTCGGTGACTTTTCGTTTTGACTAAAACAATTAAAAGTGCGTGTACAAATCAAGTGCGAGTGACTTATAACAAGGATCAGTCAATTTTTGTTGATATTACTACAAAAAGAAGAAAAAACTATGACTTTTTATCTGTGATGTTAAACGTGTGTACGTCACTCTTTGTAAACGTCACTCAAGAAAGAAACTGTTCAAGTAATTCGTCCTCCTCGTCATACAGTACTCGGCTTCGCAGTTAAGCTGTGTTCCGGAATCGAACATTTCAATCGGCCTAAGTTCAAACCTATACACGGGATATTGAAAGAACAATTCTTTTTAATTTTTGTTTTATAAATTTATATGAAGATATCTTATTTATTTCTAACAGATAGTATATAAAGGGAAAAATAATTCTGTAAGGAATTATACCGCCGCCGCCGCTCCCGAGCTCGAAGCGAATGGTAATTATTTTCGGACGAGTTAACGATAACATATGTTTACTGGCTGACACCGAAACCGGAATCTGGTGTTGACAACCCTTATCTAGTATTCCAACTCAATAATGGAAAAGGAGATGGATTTTTTTTTTTTGGCACAGAATGAAGGAGGAGATGGCTGCGCAAACAAAGGCAATAACCGAAGCTGTCACTAGAAACGTGTCAGAGAATATTAACGAAAAATTGTCTGCTCTTGTGGAAGAAAACAAAAGCCTGAAGACTGAAGTAAAAATCTTACAAGACAAAATTAAGTCGATGGAAGAATACAGGAAGGGAAACAACATAATCTTCTTTGGTATAAAAGAGGAACAGCGCATGGAGTCTCCAATCGAAGTCATAAAAAAAGTACTTGAAGAAAACATGAATCTTCATCTTAACTCGAATGAAATAAATAAAGCTTATCGACTAGGAGAAAAAAAAGGCAACAAACCGCGTCCTATCCTTGTAATGTTTACAACAAACTGGAGAAGAAACGAAGTACTTAGGAACAAAAAGAAATTAGATTCTGATATCTATATTAAGGAGGACCTTAGCAAGGAAACCTTGGAAAAGAGGAAACAACTTCTGCCTCAACTAAAGGAGGAACGAGCAATGGGAAAAATTTGTTACTTTTTCAAGGATAAAATAGTTGTGAAAGAACCGAAAGAGGACAAAAAGAGATAAGAGAAAAAGAGACTTCACTAACTCCCCAAGCAAATCCCCAACTTACACACGTACTGCGGGCCCAAAGAAGATTAATAAAACTTGCATGCTAGACTACGTAGCACGTGGTAGATCACTGTCACTACCTTCACCATCAACATCAAAAAACGCTCAACAGACGCCGACAACAACAGGAAACCCAACCCAACAATAGAAACACACTTAGCCAAAGAAACATTGAAAGCAATCACCCCAAGACGGTTGGTCACCGTGGGGGAAAGCGACCATTACCCTCCAAATACTACTCCCACTCCCACACCTAAAACGAATACTTGTGCAACTGAGAAACAATTTTATACCAAACAAATATATATAGCCACATTCAACACATTATCCCTAAAGTCTGAAGAAAGCCTTAAAGAACTTCTATATTCTATCAAAAATATTAAGTGGGACATTATAGGCCTGAGCGAAGTAAGAAGGATTGGCGAATCAATTCAGGAATACGATGAAGTCATATTATATTATAAAGGTGAAACTCCAGGAAGACATGGAGTAGGTTTCCTGATCAAGAAAGAACTCAAAAACTCTATAGTGGAAATAATCGGCATATCAGAAAGGATCGCTATATTGAATGTTAGAATCCCTCCAGGCAGAGAAACATGGTCTGTAGTGCAAATATATTCACCAACTGAGCAATCAACGAGTTCAGAGATCGACCTTTTCTACTCATCCCTTAACACCGCCCTAAAAGAACACACACACAAAAACTGCATTATAATGGGCGATTTCAATGCACGTGTTGGAACCCCAAGAAACGGTGAAGATGTCGTACTAGGTCCTTACAGTACTGGAAAACGAACACGAAACGGGCAAAAGATGATGGAAATGGCATTTGAAAATAATATGAAAATAATGAATAGTGTATTCAAAAAAGAGCTTCCAGAAGATGGACATGGATATCACCAGATGGTCGATACAAAAATGACATAGACTACTTTTTAACGAACAGACCCAAATCAATCGACGACTGTGGCACCATCTCTACCCTTAACTTCAACAGTAACCATAGAATGCTTAGAGCGTGTTTAAACGCATCATTTAGTTTGAAGTTATGTCGACCCTTCAAAATTAAAACATCCACAATGTGCAGCAACACTAGTATTGCCAACATAAAAGAAAACCTCAAGTCCGTGCAGGTATCATCGCTCGAGCACCTAAAAACTCAAGATAAATACAACATAATACACGAGATACTAACAGCAAGATCGAAAACCACGTCTAAAACCAAATCACAGGACAATGGCCACATATCAGCTAAAGCAAAAGACCTCATAGAAAAAAGATCAAAATTAATTAAAATGACTCACAAAACAAAATCTATCAGAGAACAAATAGGAAAAACTAGCAAAGAAATTAAGAGCCAAATGAGAAGAGACAGAGAACGTCTTAGACGTGACACTTTTGAAAAACATATTATCAAGACGGGTGGCATAAAAAAGGCTCTTAAGCTCTTATCTGACAATACAAAGTGGATACCTAATATGAAAGACCAATTTTGCAAGACAAGGACTATCAGATCGGATATTTTATCAATAGCCACAAAAATTCTATGAGAACCTTTACTCCAGCAAATATCATACTTACAATATAGACTTAACTAGCAACGATAATGTTCCTCATATAATAGAAGCAGAAATAAACAAAGCAATTGAATCCCAGAAGAAGGATAAAGCTTCCGGCCCTGACGGGATCAATAATGATATGCTTCAAGTCTGCAAAAAAGAGATATCACCACTACTAAAATACATCTTTAACGATATACTGAGCACTGAACAAATTCCGTTACAGTGGACCACATCAACGATCATCCTCCTCCACAAAAAAGGTGACAGGAGTGACATGAACAATTATAGGCCGATAAGCTTAATGTCAAACATCTATAAAGTCTTTGCGAAAGTAATTTTGCGGCGAATAACCAGAAATCTGGACGAAAATCAACCTATAGAGCAGGCTGGTTTCAGGGCGGGATATTCAACATTAGACCATATACTTACGGTAAGACAAATATTTGAGAAAACCAAAGAATTCAATGTGCCGTTCTATTGTTGCTTCATAGACTACAACAAGGCATTCGACTCAATAGAGCACGAAAATATCTGGCACTGCCTCAAAAATCAAGGAGTCGACCCAAAGTACATCAGAATATTAAAAAATATATACACGAATAGTACCGCTAGAATAAAACTAGAAAAAGTAGGAAAAGAAATCAAAATAAATAGAGGTGTACGTCAAGGAGACCCCCTATCACCTAAATTATTCACAGCTGTACTAGAAGACATCTTCAGAGAATTAAAATGGGATGGGTACGGACTAAACATAAACGGGGAACAACTAACACACCTACGATTCGCCGATGACATCATACTATTTGCTACAAACAAAGAGCATCTAAGAATTATGATTACAGACCTGGAGAGGAAAAGCCGCAAGGTAGGGCTAACAATGAACACCTCAAAAACTAAAGCCATGACGAATGCATCAGAAGATATTATTATAGTAAATGGAGAGTCAATTGATTATGTGAAAGAGTACACATACCTGGGCCAACAGATCTCATCCACTGGTATAATGTCGAAGGAAATTGATACAAGAATTGGGAAAGCGTGGAAATGTTACTGGGGGCTTAGCGAAATCATGAAAAACACAGAAATAAAAATAAATGTCAAATCAAAGCTGTATAACACTTGCATACTTCCGGTATTAACATACGGCTGCCAAACTTGGGCACTCACTAAAATGCAAACCAGGCAATTGAAGACATGCCAGACGGCGATGGAAAGAAGCATGCTAAATATCAGGAAGTCCGACAGAATCAATAATAAAATCATACGAAACCACACGAAGATTGAAGACGTCACAACGAGGATACGAAGATTGAAATGGAAATGGGCTGGTCACGTAATAAGAGGTATAGAAAAGTGGAACAAAAAGATCATATATTGGTACCCAAGAAATAATAAAAGAAAACGAGGTAGACAGTTTCAAAGATGGGAAGACGAAATAAAATCCGTAACTGGGAAAATTTGGACCAGGAAAGCTCAGAACAGAGCAGAGTGGAGAGAAATGGAGGAGGCCTTTGCCAAAGTTGGGCAAACAGATGGGTTGTCGGTGTCACCGACTCACTAGTGTTAAGTTTAAGTTTAAAATTATGTTATTATTTCTATCTGATTAAAGGCTTTATTATTATTATTATTATATAGTCTTGTTATTAAAAATGGATCAAAGAAGATAATATCAATCTTACATTATTATTTTTTCTTTAGTAAAAATAATGTGAAATGTATTCCATGTAACTGTTAGTGATTTGTTCATGCTATAATTTTATTGCCATATCCCAGCGTAGTTCCCTATAAGAGCGGCAGGAGAAGGCCCACCGGCTGTGAATATTGTCGTACCACTATCGTCATAGCAATGTGTATATTCACTTGTTGGTGTCCGTCCACTCCTTCGTCCGGGAGCACATACCCTCCAAGCCCTTAGTGCTACAGTTTTTGTTGGATGTAAATTGCTCTTGAGGTATTTGCCGGCTCTTACGTCGTAGAACATGAGAAGACCTGCAAATATGTTAATATATGTAGACTACAAATACGAACGGCCGTAAAAAACGCGCAGAGATAGTTACCATAATTGCTATTAACTTTGCATGCAAACGTTGTCGCCATGGTAACACGTATATTTAATCCAACTTTTATAATAACAAATATAGTTTTTGTAAGTGTTAAAACTAGATTAAATAAAGCGTGGCTTGCTCACCGACTTCAGTACTAATAGTGAGTAGGTCTCCACGGAACGTCGCCGATCGTATCCCACAAACGTTGTTACGAGACGTTATCTTCTTAACAGACTTTAGCGTCCGAGAATCCAGAAGTAACGTGTACGACTTACAACCGATCGCGTATAATGAACCGCTTTCCTAAAATTTTAAAATACTTTTATTTAAAGTGGGATTTAAAAAAGAAAAGACGAGGATTGTATCCGGCCAAACAAAGGGGCGTTGTTATTGACACAATCGGAACTAGTCTCAATTCTGATGTTTTTAAATCAGGTATATTTCAACTTCGGGAAAGGTTTGAACTTCTACATCTATCTACAAATGTCTGTAAGGGACATGCATAATATGAGTCTAGGCAAATAATTATTAATTATACAGATACTTTTTTATTTTCAATTGATAGACAACTTTTTAAAAATTTTCATTAAATCGATATTAGTATCGTAATTTCTTTACTTAAAATGTAAAATAATAAGACTGCTTTGATTTATATGCGCTTTATAGAAAGCATACTAATGGTGCACGCGTATGCGTATAAACGCATTAGATTTGGCCACGCATTAGATGTAATAAAAATATAAATTTTGCAAATGCATAAAAATGCTGTACGGATATCATAGTAAATATGAAAAAAATATATATTTTTTATGAAAATACTAGTTTAGATTATTGAAACTACGATGCTCTGCAAGATAATTTGTTATATATCTCTTACTTGTGTGGCGAGGCAAAAGAGGTCCTGACGAGAAGGTAACTTTTGTGAAAGGGTTTGTCTGAAGGTGGAAGCATCGAACACATGGATGTACCCGTCGAGGCTCAGCGCGGCGATCTCGCGCCAACGAGGGTTGAAGGCCCGGACCTCCTGACCTGAGGAGATTTTACCAGTGAGTCACTTTTTCTACTCAATTTTAATTTTGCAACGATATATTTCTATCCATGTTTAGCTAATCTGTTTTGTCAACGATCTTTGGAAGAACAAACAGCATTTTTCAACTGATATATATGTATTGAAATTTGTAAACAATCCACCATTATCTACTTTTCTATTGGTTATAAGTGATGTGACATTTTCGGTAAATTAATCGGATCGATTATTTTCTCATTTGTTATTTTTAAAGTTGAACCTAATCGAATATATAAACCTAACCTAACCGATCTAGATAATAATTGGATTTTTGGACAGCTCCGGCGCTACGGGAAATGCAGCCCCTCCACCCTTGCGTACCAAAGCACAGGCATTTTATTCAAGCCTCCGCAACCTCGGCTTTATGGTGGATTGTTTACAAATTTCAATACATTTCACAAAACTTTTAAAAAAAATTAAAAATACTTTCACGCATTTCCGGCAGCTAAAATCACTTGGAGGTGTTCCAATGAAGGTCCCCCAAGACTCCTGCATAATCAGTATCATCAGATTCGGGTGCATCGTTATCGCACCCAACCCATTATTTTGATAAATTATGTAAAACTTATCATATTTTATCAATTATAGCTGGTATCAAATGTTAATAAAGGACAAAGTCATCCTTGGAGTGGTCATTTAGAAATGAAAATAATTGATAAATCATATTTACACAGTCAAAATGGTTGAAAGGATAAGGCAATTTCAATTAAGATAAACATAAACATCAATGCATTTAATTATTATAAGCTGTATAAAGTCACCGGTATAAAATGATATAAGAAATGCTTTGTAAGTGAAACAGCGATGCATAATTAAAAATAGTTTCCCATTTTAAAATATTTTTTATGGAAATTACCTCAGGAGCTTGAATTTCTCTAGAACGCACATAGTCAACAAAGTTATATGAAGTGCAAAGTGTTATATGTTGCTCAGTAGGGGTTTCTTCTTCACTATCACTATCTGAGTAGCGTACAAAATCTTGATTTTCAGGTCTACCTACGTTGTTGTTCCAATCTTAAACACAAATAGATAAAAAAAAATTGTTATATTTGTTGTACCCGTAATGTAATATCAAATCCAATTTTTAAGATAATACTCACTAAAAGAAAGCGTTTTGCAAAGTTTTAAGTCGCGGAAACTTACGGTTCATGAGATACATTTATTTTTACTTTCCATACAAATACAAATGGGCTAATAACACGCCATAACATAATAAATTTGACAATTAATTTATGTTAAAGTCAATTCACGTTTCAATTAGTGTAGGTTCCGAAAAATTTGAAAATATCGATACTTTAAAGTGTTTAACTTTATGCCCAAAATTTTATATTCAAAAAGTACCCAAAACCGAATCAGAGCACCCCAGTATCCACGTGGTCTTGTCTGCCCTACCCCTAGAGTGTATATAAAAAATCGGAGGCGCGGAGGAAGAGCAGCCCCCACCCGCTCTAACAAAGCATAGGCATTATGAAACTTGCAAGCCGTAGCGGCTAAGGCTGGTCGCCGAAGGCGACCATAAAGTCGAAGCTGCGGAGGCTTGGATAAAATGCAAGGGTGGAGAGGCTGCATTTCCCGTAGCGCCGGAGCTGTCCAAAAAACCAATTATTATCTAGTTCGGTTAGGTTAGGTTAGTATATTAATATTTTTTTTAAATAACTTTTTATGGCGCGTGAAAGTGGTTGGTTGAAAGTGGAAATTCTAAAACTTTAAAGTTCAAAAATTGGGAAATAATCGATAAATATAAAAGTATCTATTATTTTTTATTTATCGATATTTCATGCTAAAAAAACCATAGATTAATTAAAAAAACAATTTTGATGCAGAATGTCACATCTCTATAACCAATAGAGCTCATCAATCAGTTATTTGCCGCGTAATTTGTATGGAAAGTAAAAATAAATTTATATAATGAACCGTGTTTCCGCAACTTAAAACTTTGCAAAACGCTTTCTTTTAGCGAGTACCTACTATCTACAAAAAAAGTACATATGGGCATTCAAATCGATGGTCGATATTGTAAAGTTAAACCAGCAATTTTGTCATCAATACCTTACATAGATCTAGCAATTAAAATGTAATTTTTTTTTAATGTTAATATCTGAAACATTTTTAAATCCTCATTAAACAGACATATAAGAAACTACATTAGGGTCCTCGAAGCCCGACTAAAATATGAGGTCACGTATTCTACGTGTCATTTATCTCAAAAGAATTATTTATATGAAATTACCTGAGCGCCCATGTTCTTGCTTCGTCTTTCATATATTCTGCTTGCCGCTTGGTATATAGCAGGATGGATACCTTGCTTCGTCTTACTGTTTGCGACATCGCAAATGCTTTAAATATACTAAATTATTCTAAGGTTTACACACGGTCAACTACAAGACATGAAATGGTTAATGGATTTTCTAAAACGATGGACTCGATATTTTTTTATATATCGAACTGTCAATATTCAAATTCATAGTTTTTTTCCTGGGCCCGTCTTAGGGTGAGATCTATAGAGCGCACTTAGACTTTGCTCAGACTAAACTTTCGAGTTAAGTCACAGTCGGTATTTATAGAGCAAACTGCGAATCTCTCCGAGTGTTAGCTTAGCTTAATCTCAAGTCCACGAAATCGACGACTTACCAAAAACTTTGCCTATAATCCTAACAAAAATAATGGCCCAAAATTTTCTTTACCATCATATCTTTTACTTGACTTTTTATTTTTGTCGGTTTTTAATGAACGGTGTTGCCATTTTATATCGGAGTTCCATAGACTTTGGGAAAAATAGGATTTGAATTCAAAGAAATGATAAATGATCTTGATAAATACCTATGAAATACATGAAATGAAATAATTACACATTATTATGGTATTTATTGTTGTTTATTTATATTATTGAAGTTATACTTCTTTAGGCGCGTTATGAAAAATTGATGAGAGTGAAATTTTACGATGCGCGCGCACCTGAGACACAAAGTTGTCAGAGTGATTATAGCGTGCGCGAGCGAGATGGGAATAAGACAATCTACAAGTAAAAAGAAATAGAATATGCGTGAAGTTAGCAGCTATGCCAAGAATTTTGAATGAACATAATGACATTTACCTTTTTAACAAATAAAGGAGTTTTAAATATTTTTTCAAAGAAATTTAGCAATGCTTTTTCACAAAGACCTATTGTTACTTAGTTAAAAGGTTATGAAACATACGTAGTTATTAAATTGAATGAATAATATAATAAAATAATAATAATTATTATTATTAATTGAATAATATACTAAATATTCAGAATTATTAAATTATTAACGTTAAATATTTGTTATTAATTATTTAATTCTATTAATTTTGATATGGGTGCAGTCAATAGCTCCGATTATATTGTTTAGGCCATGGTGAGTATTAGATCTAAAGTAATATACTCAACTCTGCAGAGACTATTTATAAAGCTTATGCTGTTCAGATCACCACACACCATCTGTAATGTCAATGAATTATTATTAGTTACATACATATATGTTATGTTTCTGAAAGTCAGAAGACAAATGTATTTAAAATCATTTTAGAATACATAGGTATAATATATCAAATCGAAAAACTATACATATTTATGAACACAGTATTACCTGAAAACATCCAGTTGCATAAAAGCTTAATGCAATAAGTATTTGCAATTGCGGTAGAATTGGCGATCCTCTGTTGTTAAAGGTTGCAAGTTTGTAATGACCAGCGGCAGGATGACATTTAATACCGTGTGTTTCAAAAAACGGTACCTTCTTTTGAATTCATTCTCACCGTACAGCTAGAAAGGATTTTGATTGTATTCGTTCCAAATACATACTTTAGGCATTCGTGGATTCATATCGGCTGCAGTTCCTACCCTTTCAATGTTTTCTATTGAAGATAGAACTCTCTCTCTCCATCATGTCATTTTCGATATTGATATTTCCAAGCGGTCCATGTAACAAAGCCAAATCACAAAACGTCACAGTGCTTCGGGAATGCATAGGTCTTAAGTAGGTATACGATCCAGATTGGTCCAGGTCCAAGTTACAAAGCCAGTCGTTGTTTTAAAGAAAGATCAAATATTTATAAGCTCATAGAAACAGAAACAGAGAAGAGAAAAAGCGGTTTAAAATTTTCAATTGTTGATACAAGTTCTCTGTTGCTGTTGTCAAAACAATGCGATCCGTTCTACGTAACAAAATTATTGTCATCTTTAAATTAATACATTTTCTAAAGGTTACTCGTAAATTTCTAGTTATTGCAATAATAAAATACATAAATAACAATAAATTGAAGATATATGTGTACCGTTTTAGATGTTTAAATATTTGTTATTGTTTACTGGATAATATAGAAATAAATATTTTAAAGGATAATAAAGAAAGTATTGCATGAAATGAAACATCAATTTGTATTTTGACATTTTCTGTCTTAGCTTGAGCTTAGCATAATCTCACCGTTAAAATGTCTATAAATACTAAATCATAGTTTAAGCTTAGTGTACACTAAGCAAAGTTTTTCGTAAGTAAATTCTGAGCAAAGTCCAAGTGCGCTCTATAGATCTCACCCTTAAGTGTTGTGGCCAGTACACTCCCATACCGCCTTAATCTAAACACCTTTGCCAAACTTAGGTTATTAGTATGTTATTATTGAGTGTTTATTTTCTTTTACAGAAAATCAATCACATCGATTTCGCGCTCCAAGAGGTTGAACATTGGCGCGCGAAATGGATACCACTTTGGAACGCGCGCCAAATCACAAAGCATGTATTTTCAAAATCGATAAAATTTTATTATGTAGACTGTAAAGGTTATAGGTGTGCTTTGCAGCTCGCGTGATGACTCCTCGAGTGAATATTTTGTAACTATTTAAAATAATGTGGCTGTGCACATTTTTAGCTCGAGCCATCGATAAACGGCCATTTTGGTTTTGTATGGAGGCAATTATTTGTTCGGCCATTTTAATTATATTTCATGCTAGCTCTCAATTGCCCAGGGTCTATGTCAAAAGTTGGTCGAACACACCCCACCTAAAACTTAAAAAACCAGACCTTTCAACTGATTTTCCTTTCCCTAAAGAGCTAAACACAATTTTAACGTCTAATTGTCTATGGGCGGCGGTATCACCTCCTGCCCGTTTGCCCCCTGTTCTATAAAAAAAAACTACTAAATTTAAAATTATTTCGCGAGCAAATCAACACCATCTCACTTTTAGAACAAATCTTTTTGTACACTTGTTACTAGAATTGAAAAATAATGAGTTCTGTGTACAAAATGTTTTCATAATCGTAATCTGCTCACAATTTATGTGTAAATTCCCTGCAGTAATGCTACTTAACATCAACTAATGTACAATATAATAATAATACATTTTTTTGCAAAGGGTACAATTGTCTTGAATTTTGAGGCTACAGGCCGGGTAAATATTTATTTAGAGTTGGTTACACTGATTTGTTTACAATTCGTGTTCGAATAATGCATATTAATTATTTTGAAATTTGATGCATATTGTATTGTGCTATCTGATAATAAATTATCGTTAATTTGGAAATTGATAAAGTCGTAATTGATATAAAAAAACAAAATTTTAGACAAATTAATACTGAGTTTATATCTCATAATATGGCAAAACTGTACAAGAAAGATGCAAGCCCACCAGCTAGAACGGTTATGATTGCTTCCTATATATTAGGAGTTCCTTACGATCCTCAAGAATTAAATCCATTATTACGGGAACAAGACACTCCGGAAATGTTTAAGGTACTGTATTCTGTTTTTATTGAATACTCTACCCACTAATTAATACTCAATTATAATAGTAATAAAACAGTGTTGACTGGTTTTTCTCTTTTTTATTCTGATATCCCCTAGAATCACAACACATCAAATAAATCAAGCAAGTCCTTAGTATCTTTAGCTAATCTTAATATTTTATAATAATGCTTTTCAGAAAAACCCTATGAAGACTATACCTTTATGGGAAGAAGATAATTTCTGCTTAGCTGATAGGTGAATTTTATTATTATTAAAATAACAGATTCCTTTAGAATCTTGGAATGTATCTGATAATGTTATCGGCAAAAATATGGTAGTACATCATTGTTGTTGTACAATAGGAACTTATATTATATGAATCTTTTATATTTCCAGCCATGCTATAATTCTCTACCTGTTTGATAAATATGCTAAGCCAGAGCATGAACATTTATATCCTAGAGACAAAAGAATAAGAGCTACTATTAATCATAGATTATTCTTTGATTGTGGCATTTTATTTCCAAGATTAAGATCTATAATGGTATGTACACATTTTCTTATACAGCAAGTTCCTAGACCTACAATAAATCAGAAAAAAAGATTTTCGGTAAGAATACAAATTATTGTTTTCATCAAGGCTATCAGGGTAACAGTGGATTTTATTGGTTTATCATCCTCGGATCTGCAGGATTATATAGCTGTCAACGATTCATTAACTGTATGTTATTGTGAAACTGACCTTTGAAGAAAAAGAAATGTTAATAGAGCTTTCAGCTTGTATGTAGCATTGGTATGATTAAAAATACATGTTTGAATATTTTATAGATTGTTATTTAAATAAATGTATTTTAATGGTTTGACAATATTATTAAAGGGGCCAACATATACTGGAAAATTGACAAAGTTATCAAAATCAATGATAAGGAATTTGGAAAGTGCCTATGAAATTCTAGAGAAGTACCTTGAAAAGACCATATACTTAGCTGACAATGTTATGACACTGGCTGACATAAGCATATTTACAACTATGTCTACTCTTAATGGTTTACATCCTATCGACAGTAATAGGTGGGTATTTTTAGTGTTTTGTATAACAACCCCAAAGTAGGTATAAGCCGTTACTTCTAATCCCATCATTAATTAAAAATATAACCATCCTTATAATTAAATAATTAAAAATAACCACATATGTACAATAAATTAAACTAAAAAAATTATATGGAAATTATGACAGTCACAAGCTTACAACTTCACATATAATATAAATTTAAAATACAACCAGAAATGAGAATTAGTATTATATTTCTGCTAAACCACACTTTTTGAGTTAGTTAAAAAACTGCAATAATGATAAATCATTTAAAAAAAATCATTTCAGATATCCAAAACTAAAAAGGTGGTTTAATGTCATGTGTGCTGAAAAATTTAGTCAAGAAATTAATGAGCCAGGTGCCAAAGAACATGTGGAGGGACTTTTAGCTTTTATGAAAAACAATTTGAATAAATCAAAACTTTAGTATTAGTAAGTTTTAGCTAAGAATTACTGTGTTACTCACACATTATGGTTATTTAACATGTATATGTGAATGGTGCTTAATAATAGGTGAAATATATATATATAGATACATAAATATACTGAAGTTTTATTTTTGGGACCAACCCAAAATGTAATTTAACAGCTATAGTCAAAAGAATGCAATCTTTATGCACTCTTTTGACTAAAGTTCTCTTTCATCTCTGTCAAATTGTGTTTGTAGATAAAAAGAGATATGGGTACTTTAGTTAATACGGGATAATTTAAGTGATTATTTATTTATTTATGAATGATTTCCTATGGCGGTCAGTATAATGCACGAACTAAACGCTAATAAACTCAAGGTTTATAAATTAGTAAATTCCTATTTTTTACCTGTGCACTACAAAAGAAATTTACTACCAATTTCATAAAAGGCTCCAAAACTAGTACTTCACTTTGCTAGCGTTCAAATTTATGATACCACAAATTGTATTAGTATAGTATATTTTATAAGTCCATTGCTCACTAGTACAAATTCATAACAATTCTCTGTAACACTATGTTGGAGACTCAGTTACTATATAACATTATAATACATTAATTTAACAAACTTGTGTTGCGTTTCGTGTTTGTTTCGTTTAATTTGCCCTTTGAAGTTTTATCCAAATCAATAATTTAAGAAACATCTTTTTCTGATCGGTCTCGTCGATAAAAATAAAGAAACCATGTAAATAGCTTTTTTCTTCAAAAGGTATAAAAGGCAAATAAATGCTCCTTTCTGTGAACTAGTGCAAAGTCAATAATAATTAATCTTGAGGCAGATTAATTAAAATAAAACAAAAGTACGAATCACAGTTTTTTTATTCCGTAACTAAAAAGAAATGCAAAGAACTTTTCAACTTTACACTCCATTAACATCTAGAATCTACACGTATGGATAACTTTACGAGAGAAAATTAATGATTACAAAAAACGTTACACATTACATTTTCTATAAGTCTTATAAGTCTTTTGCACTCGATAGCACTTACACATAGATACGGGTTTCATTCAGTCAGTCATGCACAACACAATACAAACTGCGCTCAAAACGTAATGGAATCGATTATTTCACTTCTCTCATTCAGTGCTAGTTTACACATTAGTCTTAGTTTAACCCGACACGATTAGCCGTCCTCCTTGGGCGGTGTGAACCATCCTGTAAATAAAGCTTTTTAATACCAAAGAATATGATATCTATGGAGACAAGTATGAACTCAAATATCAACATGCAATTATCATTTCATAGGATTCCCACACAACTCGAGTTTTAAGGAGTAACTGCTAAATAAATTGATATTATTAAGATTAAAAATTCACTATAGATTGCATCCGAGCATATAGTTCTTAGACTGCCCTTAACTCTAAGCATTATATTTCGAAACTTGGCATCAAATCGATACACAATTTAATTAACTAATTGGGGTAAATTAATGGAAGATCTACAGTAAGTCTTATAGTTAATTCAACTAATAAACATATTGCATATGTAGAATAAATATCTAAATGGTATATGTGCCAAAACGCTTGTTATATATGCTTACTCTTCCATGCAGACAGTAATAAACAGTATACATGAATAAATTAGCCCTAATATTTAAAGAAAAAACTGTTTAACCGGATTGAAGTTATGTATTATTATAAATTTACAACTATTTAACATAATTTTAAATTTATCCGACGTTTCGCGTGCTTTACAGCGTGCGTGGTCACGGTGACTGAAGACAAAAGATGTTGGATGTCAAAAAGTATCACCGCTGTAGAGAAAGTTGCCTTATCTGTATTTATTACCCCGGAGTTGGTATCAACTAAAAGATGGAGGGTTTTGGCAAAAATGGCTCACGGTGTCCTCTATTTTCGCGGATTGTTTTTCTGGAGATTTTAATTTGGATATTATTGGATCCCAGGTGTTTGACACGCGACGCGAAACGTCGGATAAATTTAAAATTATGTTAAATAGTTGTAAATTTATAATAATACATAACTTCAATCCGGTTAAACAGTTTTTTCTTTAAATGTGTAAAGGTTATGTAAATCAAAGACAATACTAGCCCTAATATTGTCGAATTTTTCTTCATAATACAGAATTATGCCATTAGTAGAGAACATACAATTAGTATGTGCAAATGCTTTTAGATTAGAATTGAGTGTGATTCTTGTAAATGCGGTCCTTAAAGTCCCAATTTTATAAATAACATACTAAATGTTTGGTTCATATCACTTATATGTAATTTTGCAATTAAGAAGCAAGACAAACTATTATTAAAGTAATTCGCTGGTATGTTATTAAGAAACCAGTAGTAAAAACTTTGTATTTTTGATAATACAGAAACGGTAAAAATAAGTATGGGACACTTTTGGACACATAAAATATAAACAAATAATATCCAAGTTAGCAATTACTTCCCCTAAATGATCCTGGGTTCAGTTTCCATTTAACACTTTAATTAATATAGTCATATGAGCCATGAAAACTTCATAAAAATACAAACCATTCTTCTCATGTATCTGCACGAGGCACTTGAAGCTCTGTTGCGCACGCGCAAGGCTATATTGCGACTGAGACACGACTTTTGTCGCGCCAAATTGTATCCGCGCTTTACCCTTTACTAGGGTTGCCGCGATTTGCATTATGACCGCTTCTACCGTGTAAGCGGATGACCAGCCTTGTTTCGTGAGTAGTTCCATACATATTGCACCACCCACTAGGACGTAGCCTCCTGGAAGCAGAAAATTTTCAAAGAATTTAAAAAAAATTAAAAGCCCATTAAAGTTAAAAAGTTTAGGATGCGTGATTTTAAATTGAATAATTATGGTTATAAATTTTCTACCGAAAACTTATCCACTTTTACCTGTCCTTTTGGAGATCATATATATAGTCGAGTTAAGTAAGTAATTAATAAAATCGCGTTCTAATGCTGAATGAGTTTAATTTAAAAACTTACCAGAAATTATAGGGTAAACCACCCTAACAAATGGCGGCTCAAATGGATATGTTTCCTTAAACATGATATTGAGGAGTATGGAGTCCTTGCCCTCTTTTTCTTTTAATACTAGCAGATCATTGTGTAGCGGACTGTCAGGATCAACAGACCGCAGTCTGATATTCCATTCATATAGGGAATCATTTATCAGTTCTGGAAGTAAAGAAGTTCTATTATAAGAAACAGCGCTAGATCGCATTAAGATACATTTTCAATTAACATTATTAAATGGTTCTATATGTTTAAACGATAATTTGATTGTTTTGCTACATTAGATTAATTAACAATAAATTCTTGTATTTTGTAGTTTATAAAGATTGGTACATTTACTTAAAATAAATAAATAATGTTTGTACAAAATAATAATTTAAACAAATCACTGCAAGCCCGCCCCGAATATGGTAACACCCGGCTTCCCTCTGATCAAAAACAATTGTATATAAATTCATAAACAGCACCATCTAGTAATAAGTAGCATGAGATATTGCCTATGACTAAACACTACAAAACCCTGATCGTTACCAGGCCATAAAATTATATTAAAAAAAAAACAAACCCTGATTTGTTTTAATGCTATCTAGCGATACGTATTAAAGATTTCATGATTTGTATCCGAAATGTTATATTTACAAATTCTTATATACACTCAATTGTTGATGTTGTTAAGATGTAAAATAAGTTTTGGCAAAACTCCACAATGATTGAATATTGAACTTGTCCCTAAATTAAATCATATCAAGAATTTCTTCTTAGCAGTGGCGCCATCAATATTTATTTTTATATAAACACTAGCGGATTCGACAGACGTTGTCCTGGGTGATATTTCAAGCGATTAGGATATTAAACAAAGTATGATAGTTCCGACTGCATCTGCCGGACTGATTTGTGAATCTAAACCATCCAGGTCGCCACCCAAACGCAAACAAAAACCTCATTAAAATCGGTCCAGCAGTGAAATACACACATACAGTAGAATTATATATATATATATATATAATGTAACTGTCAAATTTGCAATAAAATAATATTGCGGGTGTAAGCTAGCCTATCTTTTAAGTTAGATCAAACTGCACATGGTGTGCAAATTTGACTGAAATCGGTTAAGTTTTAGGAGTCCATAGAGGACAAACAAAGTGACACGTAATTTATATATATTAAGATTGGTCTATTACTTTAATTATCTTTGGTATTAGCTAATCTGTACTGTTAGTCTAACACACCTATAGAATACATATTGCTCTTGAATGAGTGTGAGCGGTATATATCTCGTAGCTCCTTCATAAGTCTATCTGTGGCCTGCAGGCTGCCTGATACACTGCCTGACAGGTAATCTTGTCGTTGATTTTGTCTCAGCCGTTCTAGTGTTGCTAGGTGTTCTGTTTCCATATCATCCTAAAAAGTTTATGTATTAATGAACAAACAATATTTTTTTCTTCCAATTAAGCCTTTTATGGTTAGATTTATCAAGTAAAACTTGGACCTAAAACAATATTAGAAATAATAAATTAATTAATTAAAAAAAAAATTATTTGTACAGACACTACTCATCACACTAAAGATATGTGTTGTGGGTAATTTCATACTTTTCATTGACATATAACTCAACCAAGTGATTTTTTTTTATCACCATTCAATATGTTTTTACTGGCAATTATATTTTAATATGTGAATTATTTAAATATAATTGCCAGTATTGCCGAGAAGGGTCTGATATAAAGTTCATAAGGTGTGTCATAAATAATATCCGGGTATGGTGGATGATTGGCTGAAGAAGCATCCAATTGGTGCTTGTTTTAAGCTAAGTTGCAAGATTTTATACTAGTAGAGCCTTATTCTAAGCAATTGTTTTATTTTAAATAAAGCTCAGCTACCTTTTCATCAGCTAACATCCAACAAGTCCTTGCACTGTGTCATATTCAAATTGTATGCAGACAACAATAGATGGTTCAAAGCAAGTGATCACATGGAAATAGTTGGTGTTAATGTTCACAGTTTAAATAAGTAAGGTTTGTGTTAAGTATAAATTTACCTTGTTGCTTCTAGCAGCATCCTCAACCATCTCTAGTGGCAAGTCATCCTCTCCTTCTGAATCATCTTCTTCAGCAGCCATATCTTCATCTTCCTCTGTTCCGGATTCAGCGCCGTTGGACGTTACACTTGGTACTCTGAATTTTTTTAAATAACCATTTAGAACAAAAATGTTTATTTTTGTAATTGTAACATTTCTTTACTATTTTTATTATTATTAATAGCTTGGAGCGATGAAGAGCATAGTCTAATGGTTGCACCTCCTAACAAACATTTAATAAGCCTTAAAACTTGTTCTCCCTAAACGTATTTCTCATGTATGTCTTTCATTTAAGAATGTAAGCAGTTTAAAATGTACCTTATGTTACCAATATGAGTAAATTATATTTATAATTATAAGACGTACAATTTTGTTCTGAGCAAAAAAGTTGGAATCTTTTAGATAAATAAAGCTAGAGGTATCCTCGATTTACATCAAACGAACTAGAGCAGAGCTTAGAACACAAGAACGATCGCTTTTGATAAGATCAATGGCGTGAGCATGTTTGAACTCGCTAGAATGTCTTAGCAAACTGTCGCGCGCTCTTGCGTAACGGTTTACATCACACCCCGCGAACGAGCATTCTTAGAATATTCTATAGAATCTTTGCGAACGCACTAAGAACAACGAAAGAATGCTCTACGCCTTTTACACTAGAAGAATTTGATGTAGTGGGGATAGAATGAGCATTCGATCGTTTGATGTAAATCGACCTTTAGCCGAACAATTTTGTTCTGACAAAATAGGGAATTAGATAAATAATAAAATTATCCTCGATGTACTAACCACTAAAATGATTAGATACAAAAAATCTGATATAATTACTTATGTTTAACTCTTAATGTATACAAACTACGTCATATGAAAACAATTAAGAACCATCTAGTGTTATCAAATGTTGACGAAACGTAATCTTTATTTACAAAATGGCTGTAGTTTAGCGTCATTCAAAACATACAATCAAGTACGAAGAACTAATTAATTCTAACATTTTCTGTTGCCCTAGCTGTTCATTTTTGCCAAACAAAAAAAATATGTTTCACTTAATATAAAAATCATAATTCTATTAATATTTGTTTGGAAATATTCATTAACTTAAAAAGGTAATAAATTAATATCAAACCTATGTTGTGGTGCGGGATAGATGGGCAGCGAGAGTGAATCCAAGTCTGGAGGCTCAGGGATACCATGTAACTTGCACAGTTCTCTCAACAATATACCAACCTAGAAACATATTATGTATTTTATACAAACAGCCATGGATACTGAGTTATGTATTCATTTAAATATTTTAAAACTGAAAAATAATAGAAGAAATGGCAAAATATTTTTGGATTTTTATATCAAATGTATATAAAATAATTAAGCACAGTTTGTTTGTAAATAAAAAAAAAAAAAAAATTTTATTAAAAAAAAAAGGGGGGAAAAAAAATTTTGGGGAGAAAAAAAAAAAACAACCAAAAAACTCCCCCCAACCCCTCCACCCACAACCAAAAACAACAAGAAATCTTGTACTAGTTTACAAAAAATATGTAAAAATAAATATTGAGAAGTCACAATTACTTAAATCGTGGAACACTGGTATTTGTTTTGTGAGAAATTAAATGAAATATTATATTTGATAGTACCTGATTTATAACATGATTGTCTCTTCCCTGTGTGTTTGTTAAAATTTGAACCGCATTGGTCACTATGGGATCCTCACTTTCTGCAAACCAAACTGGTGGTGTGGTGGGGTATGTTTCCTTAAAATACCAAAGTAATATAAGTTAAATATAGCAGGTTAAGGTAAAGATTCAATATCCATAGTCAACAATACTGGTAACATTACTTTACTTTTCATTATATTAATGACTGATTAATTCAATAAATGAAAAGGATTTGAAACTTACAGTATCACTTTTAACTGTATTAACATTGCATTTATTACTTCTTTTTTGGGAATTTATTATCTTATTGTGTTTAAAAAATCATAAGTAAGACTAATAAAATATTTATTATAAATAAATTAATTATATATTCAATTGAAAATATAATGTCTTCAAATATTGAATCATTTTATTTTAAACATTGATAGTTGTAGCAACAACAATTGTGTAATACAACAGAGAAATAGTTTAAATCTAACAATAAAGCATATAACTAACCAAGATTCAATAGGCTTATCATAAACTTACATAAAAAAACAGGTAGAAAACATGACTAAGAGGCTTTGTCCTAAAATTCGCATTTTTACCGTTACTCAAACAAAACAGTACTTCCTCTATAAACGTAGCCGTAACTAGTTAAAAACACTATGAAATGCGAACTGAAATTTAAGTGATCAATACAATGATTCGTCATGGACCCGAGAAACAGTATCGGGTTAAGTGTGGCGATCGAAACTTGCGCGCATTGCACCAGTTTTGCATCACAAGTCTACTGTTAACATAATACCTACAAGATTTAATTAAATACCACCATATGAACAGATGGAATGGTGCCTATGTCTATAAAAAATCACTTCCGTAAATCTTTTGTTGACAGCCCTGCCCTCATAAACAACGACCCTTTGTCATAAAGATAATCAATAAACGCATTCATTAATATCAAAATATTACTGCCGTGTATCTAAGTTAATTTCAAATATATATATATTGTATACTCACTGTGATATTTGCATGTATTTCATATTTTTTTCCATTTTTGCCAACGAATCTGCAGGTCAGTTCGTCGACACTAGCTGACATTATCTGAAATCGCTCATGATTTTTGGGAAACACTTGCTCTAACGTTTTAATTTCTAACTTAAGTGTATTTAAGCAAGCCATTAGTGTATAGAAACACTAAGTTTTTAATATAAATAACTAGTCACCACTTTTGAATACATGGGAGCTGTTTTACGTTCACTCCATGGAGCAAAATGGCGGCTGCAATGTCGGAGTAAAACTCAAAATCAAAATATCGACGTTAGAGGGCAGTAATGCTATGATCTGTTCAAAGAACAAAATTATTCTGTGTTATAGCCATTTTTCAACTTACACTCTGTGGAGTTGTTCGCGCGTAAGAAGTTATACTTCTTTGGCATTATTAAAAATAGTTTTTGATTCCATGCAAATAATAAATTACAATTAAATAATCAAAGACTGGAAAAGGAGTCATTATAGTCAATAAAGTTCAGTTTACATTTGAAAAATTTAATAAATAAATATTTATTATTATTCTCTTACATTAAGTGTAACATAAATTTTATTATTATTCGAATGTTGTTTTTAAAAAAAATTGTCCAATGCCGTAGGATCTTCCGTGGGCAACTTCATTCTGCTAATTTTGTGTCACGGTGCGCGCGCATCGTAAAATTTCACTCTCATAAATTTTTCATAACGCGCCTAAAGAAGTATAACTTCAAAAATTCAAAAAGTCATAGACTACAATCGTAATTCTTTTTTATTAAATGTAGCAAAAAAAATTAAGTATACAGCCACGTCGCGAGTTTTTTATTAATTAACCCTGTAACCGGCAAGACTATAACACTACGGGTACATTCAACTAATTGTTAATAATTTTAAGGTTTTTACCAAAACAAAGAAATCGAAGGGCTATTTTCAAGGGTTACTCATCGATTCATGGAATTGTACTGCAATTCAGAAAATCGATTTTAAAAAATCGATCTTTTGGGCCTGGAAAATCGATTCTTTGATTAATCGATCTCAGATCGCCATCTCCAACCGTAGAGTGTGTCGTTGGTATGCATTTGTTAGTCAGTTGACTAATTAATGTCATTCATGATCCTTTGTTATTGTTTGCATAAAAGACTAACACTCAAGAAAATTTTGCTTAAACCTTTGCACGTTAATTAAATTATTGTTTGGTATACTTTTGTGTAAATTGATATCGTCTATTGAATAATAGAAATCCAATCCAATAAGGTTATTATATAATATACATAATAGGGTATATATATCAATGAATTATTTAATAAAATATCTCTAATATTACTTTATTATTGATCCAACACGTGGAAGAAAAACTATTGCTTTCGTGTACATTAACGATTAATATTTTTTATCTCTTGCGCATTCGGATGTGAGAAAATAAAGGGCCTTCTTTAGCTATTTAAGAGAAGTTTTTATGGTCATTCTATTATTTATAAGACTGAAATTTACATACTTTTTATATATATATTTTTAACCTGTTAATATTATGTAGATAATCAAAATAGAGTAGTAGTTTTTATTGATCTGTATTCTGTGATTACAGATTAGGAAAACTATGACCTATGCGTAATGCATAATGGATTAGTATAGTGTATACTAGTATATTCAATATCTGTGATATATAGTATGCACTATGCACTATGCAATATGCATTATGCGGTGATCTGCGTTATGTTTAACAAATGAATTTTAAATTTTAAAATATGTAAATATAAATTATTTAAGAAATTACGACAAATACTTGATAATAAGATAATTAAATGCATATTTATTTTAAGATTGTTTGTTGACTTAAATATAAGTTTGTTTGATCATATTATAAATTTGTTTATCTTACTACTATAATAATAGTATTTTAAAATATTCACAAAATCTACGTAAACAACAGACAATGAACTGCAAATTAGGTGACTCAAGATCTAAACGTAGAAGATCAGAATCGTGTGAAAGAAAAGGCCTTGAATATAGTAAAAGAAGAAGATCGCCTCACAATAGTCCAGCAAGAGTTTCTCAAAGTGACACAGAATATTTTAGCTTTTTAAACTATAAGCGAAACTTGAATAAAATAATTCTATACAATAATGATACAAACACAGTTGCATATAGTATTGATGATTTTTGGGTTTTTGTCAAAAAATATGAAGCCACTCTAAGAAAAGGTCACAAACCAATTCTATCTTATGAATCTGAAGAAAAAAGAGTAAATAATTTGGGAATTTCAGAAACTTTTTCAAAGTGGGATTGTATTAACTTTACATCAAAAACAAAATTTATGGATTCTGTTTATGATGAAGGAGCTAAGAACAGACTTAATGAGAAAATGTTTAAAGTTTTTCTCAACATAATTTCAATTTACATTGATTTTAAAAATAAGGAGAAGTTTGAAAAGCTAAAAAAGCTGAGGAAAGCTCAGAGGGACTTACCAGTTGCTAAGTTTAGGTATGATACCATGGCTAAATATTATTTTAAATATACAACATGTATAGTCTTAAATATGGATATATATTACTCTTCCTTGCCTTAAAATTTTATTATCTATTTTATCATTTAATAAAATTAAAACTGTAATAAAGCTAAAGTTAATATTATTTTGTGTATGAAGTTTTGCCTTTCATTACACCTGCACCTGTAGAATTCATTACATTACACAACACATGTTTTAAGAACAAGTAGTGTTATTACAGAAGTGATATAGTAAAAGCGGTGCAGAATGAAAAAGTTGTTGTTGTTGCTGGAGACACTGGTTGTGGTAAATCAACCCAAGTACCACAATATCTACATGAAGCTGGTTTTCAAAATATTGGTATGTAAAATTTTATTAATTGATTACAATTTACATATGAAATTTTATAAAAATTCTTTCAAATATAAGAATCTATCTGACATTCAATAGAATTTACTAAGCATACATTTATGAACATTCAAACTGGGAGTTTCACTGAATACATATATATAAATGAGTAAAACACGATAAACTAGACAATATTCATAAAATGCCTTCGCTTATTTCAGCATGCACACAACCCAGAAGAATTGCATGTATCTCCTTATCAAAGAGGGTAGCTTATGAAATGCTAGCTCAATATGAAACAAAAGTTGGATATCAAATTAGATTTGAAAAGACCAGGACTGCTGATACAAGCATTTGTTTTATAACAGAGGGACTTTTATTGCGACAGGTATATTTAAAAACAACGTTTATCGGAACTATCTAATTTTATTAGAAAATTTAAAAACTTTATAATTATACCTATGTATGTTAAACTTACCAGCTCAATTATTATAGTATTACGATAATCCAATAGATGTCAATGTAAGCAAATTAGATTAGGTCATAAAAGCTGACGAAGTTTAAGTTTTTCAAACATTTTCTAATAGATGGCGTTGTTTTCAATGTTAATGTTCACAGTTTCCTCAATAGGTGGAATTTGTTAAGTCCCTTAAATTCTAAAACGCGCTATCGTTGTATTTCTGTGTTCGTATATAACCTTTAGGAAACGTAATGAAATCATACTTACCTGGCGTAGGGGATACCGTGATCACTAAGGCGGTTCCCCCAGAGCGAGACTCATCCATTGCACTGCGGATGGGTTGACCTCTGCGATTATCCCTAATGTGGATAACTCGGACGCGTAATTTTTGGTAGTGGGGACTGCGTACGCGCCGTCCCCCCATAATATATAATGGATTATTATTTATTAGTTAATAATATCTAGTCATTACATATGACACTGTTGACTGTAGTCTAAACTCTGAAGTCTATACTGAGATCTGAATAATACTCTATACACAACAAAACTTTGAGAAAAAAGAGATCTTGGGGCCTACCATGAACTCTTATTGCGAGCCTATTGACAACCTACAACTCACAACTGAGATGCATCGCTAATTCGTACCATGACATCGAAAGAACGAGACAGTTCAGGTTCCCACGTGACCTTAGCGGTTATCAGATTTCGTTCGTTCAATTTGTATGAAAATTCGTACCATGACCGCTGGGCTGAACCGAAATTTGACAGTTGCGCCTTCCAACTATGACAGAATAAGCGATTCTAAAAAAGTTACTTTTTGTTCAACTTTTTTGTATCGAAATGTACAAATAATAGTTAAGAACCTATAAAATTAAATATGTATCTACTATGTCTATGTTTCGGATATTTTGGGGTATTTTGAGTTTAGAAAGTGTGATTATAAATTAATTATTAAAATATCGACGGAGATGAGAAACAAGACGGCAATACCCTTCTACCGACTTCGTAGATATTGAGTTTATAATTTGCTATAGATTAACGACTTTGATTCGCTGAATAATTGCACCAACTGTTCAATAATATTCAATTAATTATTTAGGCATGTCTAACACAAACATAATTCCCGAATATATCATATTTATAATAAATAAGCATATCAGTAGTAGATATTTATTATACATAATTAAATTTTTCCTCATTATGTTCATGAATTGTATAATTATCCTCTGCTTTTTGTTGTTTAAAAAAACATAGGTATTTTTCAAATTTATAATGTGTAAATAATAAGCCATTTGAAAATATTATAATAACAGTATTTATTTAGTTAGGATGACTCCATCAAGATAGAAAAAGGTGTCTTCAGGCAATGTTCAATTGGATATAAACATATGTATATTCATATATGTCATTCTCTCAATTCAGCGAGTTTGTTTTGTTTTTTTTCGAGTTTTACGATTAATTACAGTTACCTACTTGAATAAAGATATTTTGAGTTTGATATTGAGTTTGTCAGTTTTAAGCTGTAAAGAAAATATAATTATTTATATTATATGAATTAGTTAACGTATAAACTAAATTTTTACAATTGGAAGGAAATAATTTTTATTATGATTTTCGAGTAATAAGTTGATTTGTAATATCTTTTGCAAAGTTTTTTTTTATCAGGAATTAACTTCGATATAGGTATTTATTTTTAATAAACAAATTTGTGAACAATACTTACCCCATCATATTATTTTATAAGTTAAACAATTTGTAAAACTATATTTATAAAACTGAAATTTTGTAAACACCAAAATATTGAAAGGTCCTATCAAAATTTGACGGAAACATTTAAAAATAATAAGTGTCAACTATCATAGC